CCGTCTACAAGGTCACGGCGCGGGTGAGTCAGTGCCCGGCCGGGCCCGGGCCCCGGCCCCGGCCTCGGCCTCGTCCCCGGCCTCGGCCTCCTCCGTGCCGGCTGCCCGGGGCGCCGCGGGCCGCCGCCCTGCCCCTCGCCTCCTCAGGTCCCCGGGCCCGGCCTACCTCTTATTTGGACTTGAAAGCCGGCGCTGTGTGCGGAATAGAGCCTGTGGCTGGGCTGCCGATGGGGATCCTGGCGTGCCCTGCGCGGATCAGGCCGGTCGCGACGTGGAGACCCCTCTCAGGGACACGGGTGGGCGGGAGGGAAGGCTCGCAGACGGCGGCCTCTCCCGAGCTGAGCCTCGGTCACCTCCTGCAAACTTGTGGCTTCACAGAACGTCGTTAATTGCCTCAAACGCGCTTTGCGATTAACTGCCAAATTCTTCCCTGTTCCTTGCAGGGTGTACGAGAATAGCTTAAAAACAAGCAACTCTTTCTTTCTTTCTTTTTCTTTCTCTTCTACCCCAAATCTCTCGGATAGGTTGCAGTCGAATTGCTCTGTCTTCCCGCCTGCCCCACAGTGCAGTCAGCTCTGGAGGGAAAAACGAGGGAGCGGAGTATGTAGGTACAGCGCGCCCATGCTGGAAGCACAGAGCTGTTTGAGTTGAAGAATATTTAGACAGCCCCTTTCCGAAGGGATGCGTGTGCCTAGGGTTCAACCCCATTTAGGCAGAAGAGGGTCTGGGTGAATCAGAGAGGCCTAGAAGGAGAAGAAGGAAAGCTGAAGCAGATAACTGGGTATCCGGAGTGCTGGCTTGGTGCTAGTTTTGCTGAAAGCTCCTTCTGTTCCCCTAGGGAAATGTCTTGCTTTCTTTTCTCCTCTGCTTTCCTACTTAAGCCAAAAAGGGAGGGGAGTAAGTAAATATGTGGAGATAGGTGCAAGAGGAGTGGGAGTTCAGGTCGCAGGTGTGGTGGGATATATTGAGAGCATCAGAAAGTGTCACAGAGGGGCAGAGTTTAATTAAATGACCTCTGATCTTGTAGTTACTGCAGCTGTAGACATTCTGCCCATGAGAGCAACATATGTTTATATGCACTCTTCCCTTAATTCAAAGATTACAGCATGCTGTATATGTATATATATTGTAGTCTTTAGGTTGTTTGACTATGATCACTTTGTGTGACTTGTAAAATTAAAAATTTTTTTTATTATTCTTTTTTGTCAGATATATGTATACAGGTCCACTGAACACAAATATGGGATGTGTTTAAAACATTGTTTTTAGTCCAATACAATGTAATATTTGTTAAGAGGAAAAAAAAAAAAGAGTTGGTTTTTCCTATGATGATTTAATCTAAAAGGCCTTTCCTGAGATAGAGGCAAGGAAGAAAACAGTGCCATCACATCTCTCTGCAGTAGCTCATGATGGGCTAAGTCTGTGTGTGTGTTTTAAAAAGTTGTGTCAGTGCAATAGGGAGTAATAGGAATGAGCCAAGACTTCTGCTTATTTTACTCTGGTGACTTTGTTCTTATTGGATAAATCCAGTTAAAATGCTCTGTGATGCTCTGGTTTATGCAGAATTGTTCAAAAGCAAGTTGTGGCTAACTAGTGAGGAATGTCAGTCTTTCTCCATGTCCTATAAGTTGTAGATGCTCTGGTGCTTTTCCAAGTGAGGCAGTGCAGAATCAGGCAGTGTGCTGACTGCATGTGATTTAGTGCAGAGCAAGGAGCTGGTAAGTCTGTGACCTGTCCAAATTAAACAGAGTTGACCAGAGATCACTATTTCTTCAGTGTGTTTTGATCTCTAAAATCCTCAAAGTGAAAAAATATTTCTCTTTTATGCAACAAAGGATGCTTTGGATTCACAAATGTAGAAGTATAAATAATTTTGTTTCAGTAGGGCTCTATCTGGTAATCTGTTATGTAATACTTGAAGTGAGGATTTGGAGAATTAGATGCTGGACAAAATGATTTAAAAATAATTCAATGTTACATATCTGTTACCCTCTCTTTTTCTCTCCTCCTATTCTTCCCTCCTGTTCCTGCAGTGATCTGGCTCCATGGTTGATATCACAGCACTACAGCTGTATTTGCTGATCTGATGCTCAGCAATTTTGGGGGACTGCCAGGAAAAAAGTGAGGTGGATCTTCCCGTTGTGTTGAATACCCTTCTGGCCGAGATCTAGGGTACTCAGTATGTACTAGTGGAGGTTTTTGGTTCCTTTCGGTGGTGTATGAGTGAATCCTTTGTGAAATGAAGTTAAAGGAACTTTCTGTTCCAACATAATCATAGATTAATAATCACGGATGACAAAGCACTTGTTTAGTGTGTCCTAAACATCTGACTCAGAGGCACAACTACCCATGCAGTCTGTTCTGAGTGCTAAGGTAGTCTATCCTTGTGGCAGCTTTTTCTTAAAGGTGGTTTTTTTTTTTGTATAACAGAGAATATATATTTTATTTCCTTGTAAACTGTGAAATAATTGTAAGTGCGGACAAGATTAAATGAATATTGGCTTTTTTTATATCCATTTCCAAAGGTTAAAGAACAGAAAGACATATCAGCAAGCTGTGATACGAGGAGCGTTCTTTAATGATATCTGAAAATATAGGCCACTAATAAAAGTTCAGATAATTTAGAAGATTACAATTATTAATGATAATTAAAATTCAAATGAGTTATATTGGATATCTGCAGGTCAGACAAGGAACAGGATAATTTGAGGTACTTTGATGGTGAGGATCCTTGTAGGATCTCTGTTTTCGGAGCCTAACACAGTAATTATGCATTGCTTAGCTCATTGGTGGGTATCCTAATGATATTTAAAAAAAATAGATTGAAGTTGCTTGCATTACAGATTTGCAGAAGGAGCTGACTGCACTGATCCTTGTAAGTGGATTAAAAAGTGTACTGAAAATTTTGGGGACTGGATCATCTTTGCCAAGTCTCTAGGTTGATTGTAGGTTGGATTGAAGGGGCAGACCTCTTCTGAGGTTGACCTTCAGAAAAGGATATGAAGAACAAAGTAGGACAACACATAAATTACTACGTACTGACTTAAAGTTGGCATGGCTGGTAGATATAGAAGGCGATGTAACATTAGAACAAGTGTGAAACAGGGCCTCTGGGTTTTATTCCAGATTCTTACTAACTGGCTGGGTAATTACTCATCTCTCTGGGTCTCCTTCTGCCCATCTGGTAACTTACCTAGCTGCCAAAACAGTTGCAAGGCTTTAACTAAAGGTGAACTGCAAAGCAAAGCAGTTGGTGTGTGCCCTTTGGTGTTCTTCTCTGATGTGTAGCCATGCCTATGATAGCTTCTTCCCCCAGCTCTACAGGCTCCTTACATCAAGTACGCCAGCTATTAGAAAAGAAGGTTAGAAATATTTCACCAATTGTACATATGAACTGCCTGGTAACGAATGAAGGAGCAACAGCTGCCAAGGTTAAAATTTGGTAAAGTTGCCAAATGTTAGATTACTCAAGAGTGAGGAAAAGTTGAGGAAGGTTTTGTCAATGTAGACTACGCTGGAAGAAGAGGACTTTGATGTGCAAGGTGAGAGAAAGACTTGTGAAGGAAAATGTTTTAGGTCTTTTGGGAGATTGCTGGAGGAGGTGACACTTCTCTTTTCTGTTTTGTCTCCTCCAAAATGTGTGAAAGATTACAGTGGCTGGGCTGTGTAGTAAGCTGATGTTACGAAATCTGGGAGGCTTTGGCAAGGATTCTTCAAAAATGAAAGGGAGGAAGAGAGCTAGTTTGTGGGGAGCATGAAGGGTATGTTATTGTCACTTGGCAAGAGGAAAGTGAACATTCAGTGACTTCCATCTTAGAGCAACAGCTGTGTGGTGCTTGTGATACAACGGGATGGTGTTTTAGTTTCTGGGGTGCAAGTAGTGTGGACTTCTTGCACTTGCCTATATGCATCACCTATTCAGAGCATTAATTATTCTGGGGTGTGTCAGTGTGTGGATAGTCTCAGTTTGGATTGAGAATGCCCTACTTTGCTTTAGCTAACAATAGGCTAATTATTTTGTTAAACAGCTTTGGCTGAGTTATAATGAAGGATATACTGACTTGCACAAGATAATTGCAGTTATGAATTAAAGATGTCTTTATTTGATTTGTTTGTTTATGTGGATATGCTCTTACTGCTGTTTATAAGCCCCAATACAGAACTTGGATTACGAAGGCTTTTGTGATCAATATTTATTTAAAGAAAAAAAAACCCTGACAAAATACAGGCAGCTTTATGGTGTGTAGCCAAGCCTCGTTTTCACTGCAGTTTTCCTCTGGACGAAGTCATTTATAATTAATTAGGCAAAGAGTGTTTAAGGAAAACAAATACCCAAGGATAGAGTCAGACGTGTGTGCGCATTGATGGCTGTAAGTAAAGTAGAAATACTGTCTTAGTAAATGCAAAGCCTCACATTCACAGTGAAGTTGTGTGCAGCTTATATTAAGCCAAGTAGCCTTAATTAGCTCCGCTTATTGGGAGTAATGTGGCCCTAATATGAATTAATGGGAAGAGACTGGAAAGATGATGGGGGAAGTGCTCTGTGTAGCTTTGTTTTGTGAGATGCCTTCTGTACCAATTTGCTGAAAATGTACGTCTTTATTTCTAATCACAGCGACTGACTCTGCTGCTAAAATACCTCACCATGTTGTATTCGGATATTAGACTTCTCTGAAACTAAA